AGAGAGAGAGAGAGAGAGAGAGAGAAACAGATAGACAGACAGACAGACAGACAGACAGACAGACAGACAGACAGACAAACAGTGAGGGAGAAGGGAACGGAGAGGGAGAGATAGAGTGAGTTCCCCATAATTAAGTATGCTGTATAAGTAATGCCTTTACCAACACTATTCTCTGCCGTAGATCAAACCCTCTATCCAGACAACATGCCCTATCTCCTTTACCCAGCTCCTCGTGGGTTGGCGATTATTTACACCACACGGTGCGCTCAATCTTCTCTGACGCGATTTTGGTAGTGATAGGCGATATCAGCAATATCGAATTCGATACGATATCGATATTTTTCATTAGAGATATCGATTGACATTACAAATAAATTATTATCGGTAAATTGAAATTTGCCATCAAATGTATCGATGGATCTGTATATATATATATATATATATATATATATATAATATAATATATTTAATATATCTGTATCTTTCGCCGTGCAGAGTGGTGGGCATATCAAAATGTCGAAATAACGATATTTTTCTCACTGTTTCGATACTATATCGATATGCGTAAAAATATCGATATGTCGATATTTCGATTTGATATGCCCACCACTAGATTTTAGGTTTGAATTGACTGTGGTCGTTCTAATAACCTTTGACCTTTTTGGATTGTGGTAATTCTAACAACCTTTAACTTTTTTGACTGTAGTCATTCTAGCAACCTTTAACCTTTTTTGACTGTGGTCATTCTAATAACCTTTGACTCGTTGCTGACTGTGCTCATTCTAATAACCTTTGACCTTTTTGGACAGTGGTCATTCTAATAACCTTTGACCTGTTTTGACTGTGGATATTCTAATAACCTTTGACCTGTTGTATTTCAGAACGCTGGTGACGGACTGCTGCCCCTCTCCCCCCTCCACCCCCTCGGGTCCGTCTACAATCTCAGTGATGTCGGCGACAACATGCCTGTGATACACTGACGGCTCTTGGAGTCTTTCTTGTGGAAGATACAAGGATGTTTAGAGTTTTGTGGAAGATACATTGACGTTTAGTGTCTTGTGGAAGATACATTGACGTTTAGAGTTTAGTGGAAGATACATGGATGTTTATTGCTTGGAAATGTTCCTCTAGGTCCCGTTTGCTGGCTTTGTGTGTGCATACCTGTGTGCTGTGACGCTTAAAGTGCCGGGTGTTGGCATCGCAGAAGGAGAAGGATTAGACATATTATTCACCACACTTCTCGACATCCACATCAACGCGGAGATTCTCGCACCACGGAGGCTGTGAAGATTTTAGACCCTCGTCGAATTCAGCACGTCATTTATGTCTCTCCACAACTCCCACTGCCACAGCAACTGGGAAAACTTTTGACCCTCGACCTTTATGTCTCTAACTACATCTCTCACTACCACAGCAATTGGGAAAACTTTTGACTCACGCCGACTTCAGCACGTCCTTTATGTCGATCTACCCCGCTCACTGCCACCACAGTTTGGTCCGGGGTGAGGAAGTGACCTTTGCTGTTTCTGCAGTCGTTAGATGGTGTTGTATGTTTTAAAACAACGTGTATTCAGATCTCAGAACTTGGCAGACCCACACAAGCAAAATGTCCAGTGCTCCAACCCGCCTTTTCATGACCTTTCGTCGGCCTCCGTCCTTGACGTTTGACCTATGATTGACCTCTGAGAGAGACCATATTAAATAACCAGAGCAGCACCACGACGTGAGTGACGTCAGCATGGGACTGTCCAGGAAGCTAGGGGCGGTCACTCAGAAGCCTGTCGTCCCGGAGACCAACAGCGTCCCCTACCAGTGGAGCAACCAGGCATACACCGTGCAGGAAATCCTGGCCAAGTTTAAGCTGCCCAGCGTGGTTCAGTGCACTGCTGGTGAGCGTGTATGTGTGTGTATGTGTGTGTGTGTGTGTGT